GCATCTGTTGCAGCTCTGCAGTCAGCCTGCAGTCAGCCTGTCATACAGTAGCTTTGTGTGTTTCCAAATAGGTCACAGTTTCTCCTTTTCGACATTCCTCCTTATTTTGCTTCAGACGCTTCTATTTATATTCATGCTAACAGAGCGGTGACTCAACCAGGCCGATCTGAAAAGTATGTTTGGAGCACAGAGCCGACGTTCCCCAGAAGGCCTGTTAAGCTCCGTGCCAGCATCTGGTGACGGCGAGCCTAGGCTCCGCCCCCACCGCAGAGCGACTTGATGATGCTGCGGATTTAAAGCCGGGCTCTGACTGACGGAGGCCATTTCTCTGTGATGCATTATGGAGAGTGTTTGTTTACGGTGCGATGAAAGCAGGTGGGTTCTGCTGTGCAGCTACAGGAGGCAGAGATGAAGCGTTTCAGCACCGCAGACTCTGTTGTTCTGTTTGATCTGCTACTCCTGTGGGTTATCTTTGAAATCCAGCTAGCAAACTTTCACCTCTTTCATCTAGAAGCGTCTCACAGTGAATGTAAAACACCACGCATTCAATAGTTGCTTTACAATCTGGATGCAGTGCCATGTTTTTAGCCTTAGTTTATCATTCTTATGGTCTGACCTGAAACCTTCCCTGTTTGGCTCCCTTAGATTCTCTGATACTGAGATCAGGCTTTTTGCTCCTGATGCCTGAACCTCTGGATATCTGAAATGTCTCAGCAGATGGAGGTTCTCCTCCTGACTCCATGGAGGAGCTCCTACCTTCAGAGTAATGGGACAGGCAGAGCAGGCTGACGCAGGAAGCTCCGGCACCGGAGCCAAAGATGGTGACTCGCTTTGGGTCTCCTTTGAAGGCATGGATGTTCTCTTTGATCCACCTGAGAGCCTGGATCTGATCCAGGAGCCCGTAGTTCCCCTTGGCCGCCTGGTCTCCTGTGCTTAGAAAACCTGGATGGAGACAGAACAGGAAGCGGAGTTATCCAGGGGTCCTTGAAGGTCGGACCGTCTGTAATGCCTGAGGAAAAAACACCAAGGTTATTTTCTGAGGTTTGAAGCAGAACCTGAACATCATAAAAAAAGGCCTGAAGAAAACGAGCCCCATGTCCGACCAACGTTCCAAACACTGAGGGAAGTTTCATGGACGTTATATCTGCTCTTTATGGAGGACAGAGACAATAGGAAGGCAACGCAGCAGCTGATCTGCAGCAGGGGGACTGAGTAAGACACCAGCATAGAGCAGCGGCCTGCGCAAAGCACAGACTGTGGGTGGAGGGGACCTTAAGGGATCTGGCTGGAAAAGTCTGCAAACCACAAGCAACAACAGCATTAGATGGTTAAATTAATCTGCAACTACCTGAGAAAATA